GGGTGTAACAAGGAGACCGCAGCATCCCTTCTCTGACTTACCTGCAAATCACTCATCACCTGGATCTTGTCATAATGAACCATCACACAAAGCCAAACTAAGGAACACTCAATAACCTGACTAGTCTGTAATCTTAAAGTGTCATGGGCAAGAAAATCAAGGAAAAATCGAGGAAGTGTTACAAATTGAAGGCAACTAAAGGAAACTGACAAATACAAGATTCTGGACTTGGATCCTGTTGCTATGCAGAACAGTATGGCAAAAAAAAAAAAAGGCAACACTTGAGTGGCATCTGAGGACTGGAGAGTAGTGGAGCCATAGATTATTTGTCTTGTTGTGACTTATTTAAATTAGGATAACGTCCTCAGGGTGGTTCGTCCATGTTGTAGGATAAGACAGAATTTAACTTCACTTTTCAAGGTGAAGAATATTCCACTGTATGTATGTACTGCATTTTCTTTATCCATTCCTCCATCAATAGACATTTGGGTTGTTTCCACATCTTGTCTGTTGTGAGCAGTGCTTCTATGAACACGGATGTACAAATATTTCTTTGAGACTGCTTTTAATTCTTTTGGCTCCATACCAAAATTGGGGTAAATGTATCATACGGCCATTTTGATTTTTTTGAGGAATGCCTATAACTGCTTTCCCTGCTGGTTGCGCCATTTTACAATCCCAGTAACAGGGCACCAAGGTTCCGGTTTCTCCACATCCTCACCAGCACTTGTTTTCTGTCTGTTTGTTTTGTAGTGGCCATCCTAATAAGTGTGAAGTGATAACTCATTGTGAGTTTGATTTGCACTTCTTTGATGATTAGTGATGTTGAGCATCTTTTCATGCTTGTTGGTCATTTGTATATTTGGAGAATTGTTCATAAAACTTGTTTGTCCATTTTTTTAATCAGATTATTTGTCTTTTTAATATAGACTTGTCTGAGTTCTTTATATGTTTTGGATAATAACCGGTTATCAGAGATATGATTTATAAATATTTTCTCTCATTCCATAGATTGCTTTTCATTCTATTGATTATGTCCTTGGATGCACATGCTCTTCATTCTATTGATTATGTCCTTGGATGCACAAAAGTTTTTAAGTTTGATATAGTCCCATTTGTCTATTTTTCCAGTTGTCCCCATACTTTTATGTCATATCAAAGAAATCATTGCCAAGTCCAGCATCATGAAGCTTTCCCCTATTTTTCTTCTAGGAGTTTTAGAGTTTTGTGTCTTATACTTAATATTAAATCCACTTTGAGTTAACTTTTGTATATGATGCAAGATAAGAGCCACTGTGTTGTAGCTGGTGGACATCACAGAAAAACAGAAGAGCAGTTATCACAGACTACACTGAGCAAAGTGGTGTATGGTGATAATAGAATCTGTATTTTCTGTTTTATCTCATTTTTAGAACATTCTGATCACCACAAACTAAATTTATTTTATGGCTGACCAATGGAGGACTCCCTGTGGATTGGACTACAATAGTTTAGATCTATCAGGGTCCAACCCTAGAGCTAGGTAAAATTTCCCAAATTGCATGGCTTTGGAGGATGCCAGCAAGATTTCGGGAAGGGTGACATCACGATGTCAAGGCTTCTGACACAAACCTGAGGGGTCATGGTCGGAGGTGCAGGTATCTGAAGTAGAGTAACATGCAGTGAAGTTAAAAGAAGATCAGTATGGCCAGAATGTAGAACGTGAGGTCAGAAATGTGAGGATGGGCAAAGGAAGGGATTTTAAGGAGTTGGGGGTCATCCCGAAGCAAAGGGAAGCTACTAAAGATTTTACAGCTGGGTGATAATAGTAAAAAGGAAGCTAAGTCTAGCTGTAGTGTAAAAAATGCCTTGGAAAGGTGTTCCACCTAGCTGAGTCTGTGATGGGATGTGGAGGGGATGGGTGTGTGGGTGAAGAGATTGAAAGGGATCTGTGTAGCACAGCTAGGAAAATATTAGCAATGAGTTAGGAAACGGAACGTCAGCTGGATTGAAGGGGAAGAAGGGAGCCAAAATTTAGAAATACTATATTCCTTTGTTTGTGATACTTTAAGAGAGAAATCGGGAGTCTAAGCAGTGATTTGGAAGTCAGTAACATGCAGAAGGGAATGCAATTACCTACGACGAGTGAGAGACTCAGAGAGGGCATCCTAAGGAACACCAGCATTGAAGGGGTGGGCAGAAAAGAAGCACCTACAAAGGCTGGGAAAGAGTAGCCAGGTATGTGGGCCACCTGGAGAATGTGGCAACAAAGAAGCCGAGAGAAAAAAATAAAAAAGAAGAATCAGGAAATGCTATAAGGAGGTCAACTAAGTACGGAAATTGCCTACTGGGCTTCGAGGAGAGAGACGGCTAGCCATCTTAGGGGACTGTTTCCACTTAAGTGCCACATGACTAGCGACTGCCGTGTGTTGAAAGGGTGCATTCTTGAGTGAAGAACGATTCCATTACCATGAACTTGACTGTGAAGGCAGGAGTGAGAGAACTGTAGTTGGACAAAAACCACAGTTGACGGAGGAACTTTTTTTATTAAGATAGAAGAGACAAGCAAATAAGTTAAGGAAATGTAACGGCGCAATTTGTAATCACTGAGTAGCCCAGAATATTCCAGCCACGAGGCACTAAACATGCCCTAGGAAACGTACAAACAAATCAAAGTGAATGCGTGTTCAGGATTTTACACCCCCTTGTGTTCCTCACAGTCAATGTCACTTACTGCATTTTTCACAAAGATAACACTTCTCTGTCCTGATTTTCCACTCAGAGCAGGTGCTTGCCAAGGCGCATCACTATGCCTCTGTAGCAACGGTGCCGCAGCGCTCTTGCGAGCAAAGAGCCCTGACTTCTGTGAACGTGAAAAAGGCCCTGAGGCCCAGCACAGCCCCTGACGGCAGTGCCTCGCCCAACAAAGTGTGAGCGGTTTGATCTTGCGGTCAGTCTTTCCTCAGAAAATCTCTATCTCAAGTAACTGCAAGGAATCCTTCTCCTTGGAAAGAAAGATAATTCTGCAGGGAGTAAGGAAACCACTGCCTTTCATGGTTTCTTTGAAGACATTTGCATCATTCCATGTTTCTGTATTTCCTGATGGTACAGGGCATTTGTGTTACTAGAATGTATAGGCAGTGTTCCTGGGTTATACTGACACAATACACAGCAGGTCAAAGAAGGAAGCTTGCTCTAATGGCTCTGAATGACCATTGAACTCCCCTATTCCTGTTTTAATTCCACCCTCCATCTTCTGCAGGGTAATGTCAACCCACTTTGCTTCATGTTCAAGAAATTGGACTGCAGATTACCATCTGGCATTATTTTCTCTGGCCACCTGCAGGAATTATTCAAGCCATCTAGTCTACCTTGCTAGTTCCTTGCCTTTGCACATGCGTTCATGGAAAGTCCTCTCCATCCTTCTCCTTGCTCTATCCTACTCAATCAACAGGTCCCATTACCTGTTTCATACTCTCTTCTCTTAACACATCAACTGGCATTATTCTCATCCCTACCTCCTCTTAATTCCTTATAGTATAGGGTTTTATATCAACTTCATAAAAAGTTCAGGATCATACGTAGCTTCCTATTAAATTCCAGGTATTTATTCAACAGATATTTATTGAGGAGTTAGGGGCCATGCAGTGCATATAAAACATTCTTGCCTTCTTGGAACTAAGGGTCTAGTGGGAGATACAGAGGAACAATTACAGAACTGCTATTCAAATCCATATCTTTTGACGTGACCCCCAACTAAACAGAGACAATATGGAAGGCAATATGTTGTACTAAGTAGAGCATGAATCTTGGAGTTAGATGCACCTAATTTCTCAACTCTGTGTGAAATGAAGCCGAGTCAATTAACTTCTCTGTGGCTCACTTTCTTCACTCGTGAAATGAAGTCATTACTAGGTTTCTTGAGAGGATTAAATAATGTAATATATGTAAGGTTTTCTTACACTAAATGATTGCTCATTAAACATGTACTGAGGAAATGAATTAATGTTAAGTTCTGTGTGAAATGATTAAGGTGATGATATACATACATATACGCACATGTATATATGAGACCATCAAAAGGATAAGTTACTTGTTGCTGTCAAAAGCTAAAGAAAGTGAGCACAAAATTATGAGTGGATAAGAAAATGTTGTGACAAAAAAAAATCTAAGAAGAAAAATGAATAGATTGCAGACTGGTTTTTATTAAGTGCTTACATTGTGCCTGGCACTGGGATGAGGAGTTTACTTATATCATCTCATGTAGCCCTCAAAACCAATCTGTGAATAACCTTAGTTTACAGATATCAAAATAAGGCTTAGGAAGGCAAGTAAGAGGGCTAACAATAGTATCAGAAATTTGCTTGTGTGTGCTTTGCTTTACTGCCCAGAATACTGACCATAATGTAGCAAGAGGGTTTTTTTTTAAACATACATACAAGAATGTTCATAAACATACCAGAACAAACTGCACAAAATTTTCAACTCTAAATTATTGGTTTTGCATTCTCTATGCTTGGTTGAAAGCTCAGTAAGTGTTTAGTAAATAATAGAGCAAAGTTATATATCTAAATAAATGTTCAACTTAAAGTAATCTTCTGTAGTCTTGGAAAGTCCTTTGTGTATTTCAAATATTCCAATGCTGTTCATTTTTCAAACTCTCAGTGGACAATTTCTTCACAATTTGTACAATTTTTTTGTTGAGATTTCTGAAATTGGAGCATTCTCATCTTCAGAAAGTGGACGCGATTTCTGAAGATGACCAAAATGCATTCAAGGCTAAAGCTGGAAATAAAGTGTGCACACGTGTTGAGTATGACTATTGCGGTACAACTGTGAAGCCATACCACAGGTTCTCCCTCTAAGTGGAATTCAGATAAACGAGCTATAGCAATTACTCCTTTGCTGTGGTGCATATGGCCTCTCACTGCACTCAGTTGTTCAATAGTTTTGACTGATGCACAAAAACATACCACGGAAGGAGTGCAGTTTACCTCTGTCTCCATTTTCTATTCCTTTAGAGGAAATGCCAGATCAGCTCCATGTGGAAACACGAGCAGACCTATCTCAAGGTACCACCTTCGCCTGACATGGTGAGTTATAACACTTTACTTGCATAGAGTGATTTATCTTTTTAACATATGCTGCAGTTCGTTGACTGCACAGAGCCTCGGAGGTACAGTTGTTGGTATTTTCACTCCGTTTTTCTCTCCTGAGCGTGCAGGGACGGTTCACTCCCAAACTGGTTTTGCCACATCATTCTAATCTTAGAAAGTAAGTAACTCTCTTTGTGGGTTTTTGCAGGGTTTTTTTTCTTTCAAACTCTACTCAACTTTTATGCCCATTTGTGTTGTTTTCAACTCGATTTCAAGTTTTAAATATTACATCATGTTCCGAAAAGCCTGTTTCTCCACAGGTTAAGTCAGTATCACCATACTAGAAGCAATAAGAGAAAAAGTAAGCTAGTGTGGCTACATAATTCAAGAATAAAAAATCTTCACAGAGCAGTAAGCATCAGAGGCAAAGCTAAATGTCAGATACAAACTGGTAAAACCATTTGGCAACTTTGTGTAACACTGTGGACTATGAAACTTTGCATTTGTGCAGTGATTTATGGTTTTAACACAACACAATTACATAATTTCTCTTCAAATCCGTATTTTTTGACCCCCCCCAAACAAAACAGAGGAGAAGACAATATGTGTTACTAGGCAGAGCGCAGGCGTTGGGTTTAGACACCTAATTCAAGTCTCAACTCTGTGTGAAATAGCATGAGCCACTCAACTTCTCTGTGGCCCAGTCTCTTCTCTTCTGAAAGGAAACCATTAGTGTCCACTTCTTAGGTTTTAATATAATACAAGTGGTGTCACCTATATGTGGAATCTACAAAGGCACTGGGAGTCGGGGTAGGATGAAGGAACAGGGAGAGGTTGCTAAATGGGGACAGACGTTTGGTGATAAGATGAATAAGGTCTGAGGATCTAATGTATAGCATGGCGACTGGAGTTGATAACACTGTACTGTGTAACTGACATTTGCTAAGAGAGTAGCCTTTAAATGTTCTCACCAAAACACAAGAACCAAAAAGAAAAAAGGTAAATAGGTGAAGTGATGATGTGTTCGTTAACTCCACGGGGGCTCCTGTCATAGGGTTTCCATATATCAGATCACCATGTGGTAGACTCCTTGTTCATTTTGTACATTTTCTGTGTTTAATTCTAATTGCACCTTTGTGATATGTATTTATATACAGTGTGCAGAAATGTTTCTGAAATTTAGATTACAACCATAGATTACATATGACGACATTGCTTGAGAATGTTTTGCTTGTAAAACTTTGAAGGTACAATCAAATGCTATTAGTTTTTCTGATTTTCAAGAAGCTACCTAAAGTATTAAGACTTTTTGCTTCCTGTGTGGTACTTATCAACAATTTTTTGTATTTAGTCATTTGCCTTAAATTGCTGAACAAGATCCACATTCATTCAACAATTTTAAAATACTATTTGGGGAGGGTTGGGCATTTAATTTTTTAGCTCTATTTATATCCCAAAGTAAAAAGATTAAATTTGTGTTTACTAGAGCTTTCCAAAGAATATACTTTTCTATAGAAAACAAAACAGCAAAGTAAATCATACAAAAAATGAACATCTATACTATTTTGTGAAAAAAAAAACAACAGATACTCATGTAGGGGCAATAAGGGATAGAAAATAGCGTAATTATTAAAAAGTAGTTGTAGATGTGGAAACACATAAACTGTTTAGTGATAAGTCACATGTTAGGGACACTTTCTGTTCACGTGGATGCATTTTTCCTGGAAACTTCAGGAGACTTTTGCCATCTTCATATTATAAAACAAAGAGTTAGTTACTGCATGCATCATAAGAAGGACTCTATTTCATGTCACTTCTAAACAGCAAGCTCAACACATTGTAACAAAAATTAAATGGTACAAGTATATATTTACTTCTGTAATTGCTCTTATATGTATTATTCATTTCAGAAGCTTTAAGATGAGATTGGAGTGAGTCACCTGAAATATGTAATAAACAGACTAGAGTGTGTGCCTTTCCCCAGTAGGAGAATGTGTATTAGGAGAAAGCAATTGTTTGATGATGTGTGGGACACAAGCAAGTCTATTTGTATTCTGCCCTTTGAAATAGTCCTTGTATATACATATTTTTATGCCATACAGCTCAAGGGCTGGTGATTATCTCTTTAAAGGAACTGCTAACCATTTCACAAAATTGTTGAATATAATATCTGAAAATGATTTCAGAGTGTGAAAACATTTTATACACTTTGCAAATCAAATGCATTTGGCTGGAAGGGACTCGCTTATGTTGCTGGCTCTATTTTGCATGTTTTTAATACTTAAGAGTTAGATAGTTTAATCTTTGGTTTCTTAGATAGGATGCAGGTGCAATTACACTGATACACCTCAGTAAGTGTCCTCCCGTAACCGAATGTGAATTTTCAAGTTTGCCACATGACATGACATTTTCTGCTGATGGCAGAATAGAAAGAGAATTAGTAGGTCTTTTTCCTGTAGGTATTTTCTGCTTCCAGTCACACCTAGAGTTAATCAGCATAAAAAGTTCACCTGGAATGGATCCCCCCCCAAAAAAAGAAAGAAAAAGGAAACAGTAAAATTGCAAGCAAAAATCTCTTACAAATTTGGGCTTGAAGCCAGTTTTAGAATAATACCCTAATTAGTTCATTTTGCTGACAAAGGAAAAGCCCAAACAAGGGAAAAATAGTCAGACATGCATAGCTGTTAGCATGGGGTCACTGCTTCCACAGACGGCACCCGAGTGACTTGGTGGACCGCATCACATGCCTATGAGATACGACCTTGGGTCTGGAGCCTGTTTGCCTGTAAATTATATTATTTAAAATTACACAGTTCCAGGGGGTATATGAGAAATCTCTGTACCTTCCTCTCATTTTGCTGTGAACCTAAAACTGCTCTAAAAAGTTAAGTCTTGAAATTTTGTTTTAAATGCACAGTTCTGCTATATAAAAGATACTGTTAGGAGAATGACAAGACAAGCCATACACTGGGAGAAAGGATTTGCAAAACAGATTTGTAATAAAACACGACCCATATCCAAAATATGCAAAGAATTCTTAAGACCCAATAATAAGAAAATGAACAACTCGATTTAAAAATAAACAACAGATTTAAACAGACCTCTCACCAAAGAAGATTTACAGATGGTAAATAAGTAAATGAAAAGATCTTCAATATCATATGTCATTAGGAAACTGCATATTACAGCAGAATTAAAATACTACTACACATCTATTAGAATGACTAACATCCAAAACATTGACAACACCAAATGCTGACAAGGGTGTGAAACAACAGAAACTCATTCATCGCTGCTGGGAAATTCTGAAAGATAGTTTGATAGTTTCTTGCAGAACTAAATATGCTCGTACTGTATGATCCACCAATTGTGCTTCTTGGTATTTACACAAATTGGTTGAAAATTTATGCCCACGTAAAAACCTGTGCTGAAATTTTACAGCAACTTTATTCATGATTGCCAAAATTTGAAAGCAACCAAGATGTCCTTCAGTAGGTGAGTGGATAAGCAAGCTGTGATGTATCCAGTCAATGGGATAGTCAACAATAAAAAAGAAATGAGCTACCAAGCCATGGGGGGAAAAGAGCAGGGGGTGGAATCTAAATGCACACTGCTAAGTGAAGGAAGCTGATATGAAAAGGCAACATACTGTATGATTCCAATTATACGACATTCTGGAAAAGGCAAAACTACGAAGATAAAAGATCAGTGGTTGCCAGGGATCTGAGGGGGGTGGGCAGGAATAAATAGGCAGAATGGAGGATTTTTAGGGCAATGAAGCTACTCTGCACAATACTGCAGTGGTGAATACATGTCATTGTACATTCATCAAAATCCATATAATGTAAAACACAAAGAATGAATCCTAATGTAAACTATGGACTTTGATTTATAATAATGTATCAGTATTAGCTTATCAGTTGGAGCAAGAGTGCTGTACTAATGCAAAATGTTAATAATGGGGGAACTAGACGACGGTGGTGGTGGAGAGGGGGTATATGGAGGCTGAACTTCTTGCTCAATTTTTCTGTAATTCTAAAACTGCCCAAAAATTAAAGTATATTATTATTTTTTTTTTGAAACTGCATAGGATCATAGCACAATGAAAGAAATACTTTTTAAGGTTTGGACTGAAACCAAATGACATGTTCTTTGTGGGAAGTTACATCATGTCAGCTGGGTTTTGTGCCTAGATTCCTATTCATTTGTATTTAGCAGACCTCAGCCGTAATGGCACTCAGAAACAAAAGGAATGTATCTTGTTTTCCAGCCATTTTCACATGTTCCAGCTTCTTTATTTCCATGCTGTTAGAAAACAATGGCAAAACCTTCTAATAAAATATTTACATAAAGATACAATGCTTTTAGTTGTAGCTAATGCTTTGTAAGCAATGAGGAAAGGAGAAAACAATTCTGACTCTTTCATAATGTTCACTCATTCACTTGGACATTTATGAAGTTTCAGGCACGGAGGGTGCACGCTTACGTCCCATAATCTTAGGAAACATCGTTATGAACTCTTATCCTCTCTTCTCCTTTTCTTTTCTGTGACTTATTATTTAAGTGACTTATTCTTTATTACATATTTTCCTTACTTTCTTTTGCTAATTTTCAACTTTAAATGTGGCAAGCACTACTTAAATACCTGCTCTATACAAGATCCCACGCTAGGTACTGAAGTCATTCAAAAGCATATAGAAATGTATCTTTATCCTCAAATGGAATACAGTATTTTCAGGAAGACAAATATACATATATATCATCTAAAATAAAATAAATAGTGGTAAATTCCATCACTTACCATTTAGAGATAAAACAAAGTGACTATGAAGGCAAACACATATATGGATTCATGACAAAAGAGTGAGAAAGAATCACTGGGTGGGTGGCATAGAATTGGACAGTTTTTAAAAATAGTTATAAAAGGTTAGGTAATTTAAGGAAGTGAGAAGGAAATGATTAATGAGATAAACGTTATTTTGCAGCTATATAAGTCT